TTACAAGGTTAGAAAGGAGACTCACCTCGCTCCGAAGATCCATAATCGGCATTCCACGCCCTTCCGAAGACTTGAATTGATGCTAAATACTCCCAAAACTAGCCAATGTTTATGCAAATTCATTAATATACGGTAAATTACTCATATTAATCCAATTTATAACAACTCCTAACCCCGATCGAAAGGTTGACAAAAATGTCCTAGGCCCCACGTGCCCGGATTTCCAAAATTTTCAAAGAATAAGTTTACCCATAGCCTCACGAACTCAAATATATAATTTCCTCTTAATTCCATACCCAAAATCGTGGTCAAATTCCAAGAATATGAATTTCTAGGTCTTTCTACCAAAACCCCAAATTTTTACCAATTTACATGCCAAAATCTATACATAATCGATGTATTTAACTTAATATGGATGGGATTAGCTTACCTTATCGTTGATGATGAGAAATCCCACTTGAAGCTCTCCCAAAAATCGCCCAAGCCAAGAAAATATGAGAGAAATGGCCAAAACCCGACTTCTAAAACACCTTTCTGCCGCCAGCATTTTCCGCATCTGCGGTCAGGGGACCGCATCTGCGGTCCCGCATTTGCGAGGGAGGGGCCGCACCTGCGAAAATGGGCCAAAGAGCTGGGACCGCATCTGCGGTCTCCAGGCCGCATCTACGGCTTGGGGGCCGCTTCTGCGGTTCCTGGCCTGGCTTACCCGAGCCGCTTCTGCGATGCAAGGACCGCATCTACGGTCTCGCACCTGCGGTCCACCAACTGCAGGTGCGGTTATGACAGAAGCAGCAACCTTCAGCCCTTCCAAAAATTCCACTTCCGATCCGTTAACCACCCGGAATCCACCCGAGGTCCCTGGGACCCCAACCAATCATACCAACCAATCCTAAAACACGTTACGGACCTGCTCGAGGCCTCAAATCATATCAAACAATGCCAAAACCAAGAATCGACCTCCAATCCAAGCTTTATGAACTTTAGAATTTCAAACTTCTACTTTCGATGTTTAAACCTATCAAATCACGTCCGATTGACTTCAAATTTTGCGCACAAGTCATATTCGACATTACAGACCTACTCCAACTTCCAGAATTGGATTCCGACCCCGATATCAAAAAGTCCACTTTCGGTCAAACTTCTCGAAAACCTTCAAATTTCTATCTTTAGCCAAATGACTCCAAAAGGACCCACGAACCTCCGAATTCACTTCCGATCGCGCTCCCAACTCCAGAATCGCCATACAGAGCTACTCCCTGACTCGAAATGACAAATGGACATCAATAACACTGAAATTCACTTCAACCTAAACTTATAAAATTTCTTCCAAAATGCTAACTTTCACAATAGGCGCCAAAACTCTCTCGGGTCATTCAAAACCCGACTCGGACATACGCCCAAGTCCGAAATCATCATACGAACCTGCTGGAACCTTCGAATTCTGATTCCGAGGTCGTTTACTCAAAAATCCGATCTTAGCTAATTCTTTCATTTTAAAGCTTCTGAAATGAGAATTTCCTCTCCAAGTCAGCTCCGAACTTCCCGAAATTTTATTCCGACCACGCGTACAAGTCAAAATACCTGAATTGAAGCTGCTCATGGCCTCAAACTGCTGAACGGCGTGCTAGGGCTCAAAACGACCGGTCGGATCGTTACAGGTTATTTCTTTAATCTTTGCATATTGTATGTAGAGGTATTCATAACTATTCAAAAAGTGTCTTCGCTGTTTTGTACTTAGTAATTACTTTTGCATGTTGTATGTAGATATATATATGTATTCAAAATTTCCACCACCGATTTGTGCTTCCTCCAGTGTCTTTTCATATTGTATTTAGATATATTCAAAAACATGAATGAGTTTGTGTATTGCTGATGACATATGAAATCTATTTATAATACACTCATATACATATGTATACATTAACAGAATACACGTCTGAATAAGGTGTTAAATTAATATATTCTATTGGTTATATTATTAGGCCATGCAAAGGAAGCTGAACACCGACATTCATGCCTATCAACACCCACATGCTATTTCAACCGGAGATACGTTAAATGCATCTACAAAGGTTAATCCTATTTGTGGCGAAGTAAGAATGGAGGGGAATACTATATCTGAGGTGCCGTGTACCATACCACCTATATTCCACGAGGGTATATCCAAAGAAGTGCATGTATCACAATTTTAATTGGCGGATAAGTTTCTTCCAAGTCAAATTCCAGAAACTAGAATTGTGATACATCATGCAGCAAAAAATGTTGATTCAACCCCCTTTACCCTCTCATAGGAATCTGCATCCAAGTTGATGGTATTCTTCGCCTTACGAGTCACACTTCGACTCCTCCGGTTAGTAAATTATTAAACAAAAATAATGTATTATAAAGTTATGATCTATTTCCCCCATGATATCTATAATTAAATGTCTCTATTAATGACTTCAATGAACAATAGGTACCTTAGTAAAGTTGACTCCCATATTTGACAAAAAACACCCATTTGAAGATGATTTAATATCAGCACCACATCTTACATTAGTCATTCAGGAATACAAGAAATGGGTTCGTGATGGTCTTCTCGCTAAACATGATCAAAAGTAAGTTTTTTCCCCGATATGTATAATATGTATTTATATAATATTTTTTCCAATTCCTTGTAGAAATGATTTGGAAGACCATTACAAGAAAAAAAAGTCTACACTGCATATACCGTTGGATTTTGGAGTTAATCAAGTCACTTCAAAAAATTGGTTTTACCTTATCTCATTTGACGGTAAACTATGGAATGACAATCTAAGATAACCCTTCTAAATTCATGTTTAATTTATTTTTTTCTATTTGGTTTGTCTAATTGTATATTTCACAATTTGAGAACTCATACAAATTTTGTATTCATTTGTATTTATATTGTTGATGTGGTATGTAAACAGATGTATGCTATGAGTTCTGTTGTATCTGTTGCTGGGGTCAATTCAATGAGTTCTGGGTATCTAGTGTATTTAACTGTACTCAGATTTATATTTATTTCACTATTTTCTCTAGCAATTTGTTAAAAGCAGTATGTATTCCTCATTAGTTTCTTAACTGTACGACTGATATATAGCAGTATGTTTAGTTATCAGTATGTATTTTACTGTATTCAATATTAAATACTCAAATGTATTTAGCAGTATGTATCTAACTGGACACAATATATTCAATTTATTTTCAGCAGTAGATACTTCTATATTCAGTTTCTATAACATACAATACATGTATATATAAAGTTTCTTCATGAAGTTTTTTTCCCTTGATTTCATTCAATGTACTAACGCTATGTATTCAATTTTTTATATAGCATATTGATGTCATATTTTACTACCTGAGAAAGAAGGTCAAGTACAACCAACAATCAACTTCAAGTATACAACTGTTGATTGTATATTCAAGACAAGAATTGCTGAAATCTTCGACAGGTATGTTGTTACAGATAGTAATGCAAATGTAGCCAAAGAAGAGGATGTGATATGTGAGTACATAAGGGGCTACAGATTGCTAGCTAATGTACCGTGGCATACTGTTGACATTGTCTTGATACCAGTAAAGTTGAAGGACAAACTTCATTGGATATTGGCAGTTGTCTCATTCAAGGAGAGATGTATCAAAGTATATGACTCATAAAGATCAGCAGGTCATGATGCCTATGTGGCTTCTGAGATAGTAAGCTTGCTAAGCTTGTACCTCTGTATCTATGGATCAGTGATTTTTACAGAGATAAGCAAGGCATAGATTGGTCTCATGACTCAGCATACAGTGACAAGGCACAAACTGATCCCTTTGATGTTGTTTTCATTTCAAATATGCCTCAACAAAAATATGGGAGCATGTATGTATTCAATCCTCTTACTTGTATCATTTATAAATCTAATAATATGAATTGTTTTTAATTATTTCAATCTATATTTTCAGGGATTGTGGGTTGCCTGTTGCGGCATACACAGAGTTTTTGAGCACTTTTGGTTTGGTTCCGCAAACAACATTTGATGCCAATTTACTTCATCAAGGACACTGTGCCCTCTTTTGGAACTATGCTATGCGGAAGATAGACGTTGATTCCATAAGCAAGAACGAAGCACCCTCAATGATTGTTAGGCAAATCACCAATTCAGATACTTCGGTGAAAACAATTTTAGAGTAGTTTTAGGTGAATATAGTTTCGGAAGATAATTTTATGTGAATACAGTTTTTTAAATATTATTTTCGTAAAGATGGTGTTCAGTTAAGAAAAACTCATCTTTTCATTTTATTCACTGTATCCAAAATGTTTATATATGATAATTTCAAATATTCATGTTGTTTTAATGTTTTGTGCAGCAATATTCATATGTATTCAGCAGATGGATATGTAAAATATACATGCATCAGTTTACTAAAAATGGTCCTTTAGCATATTTTTTTTTTGTGTGTGTGTGTGTATATATATATATATATATATATATATATATATATATATATATAAGGTTGTATATGCATCATGTATTGATATATATTCAAGGGATTGTGCTGTATGTGATCTATATTTTGTATTTAGATGTATTCGAATATATTCAGATTATGCTATATGTGTACTGCATTTTGTATTCATAAGTATTCAAATATTTCCAGATTGTATTGTATGTGTAAGAGTCATTTTGTATTGATATGTATTCAACAGATTGTAATTATGTATTCACATATAACTGCACCTGTATGTATTCATATTTATTCAAAATATAAATGCAATATGTATTCAGCAGTTTACTAAATTATATTCAGCAGAATGTATTTATGCAATAATCCAATACGCCAACTAATTATATCCAGAATGTATTCACGCAAAAATCCAATACACCAACTAATCAATATGTATTATTTTAAAATGTAATCTATGACACAATCGTTATTGCACTAATACAAGTCAGAATGTGAACTAAGTCTTACGTGGAGCATTTCTACAAGTACGCTTATTATGTCCTCCCCGCCTATGTCAGAATGTGAACTAAGTCCTTCTTTTGCAAAAATTCACTGAACGGCTTATTGCGCTTCTTCTTTGGCCTTCCAGAAGGTATTTTCCATTTGGGTGGTAAGACAACTTCCTCTGATATATGTGCTGGTATATTCCATTCCTTTCGGTCAGGGAGCGGATACACGGACACCTCGTATGTCATTACAACTGACTTTGGTTTGGAATAGTCAGAGCAATAATCTTCTGGAATTAGAAACTTGCTCTTCAAGACAACCCAAGCGTGTGGGCATGGTAATTCGTCAACTTGGAACCGCCCACTACTGCACTTTCTCTCTAAGAGGCACATGATGTAATGCCTTCCTTCATCGTTCACCGTATGCAAGTATTCAGCTGACGATACAACCTACATTTAAACATAGACCTATAAGTTTTGAATATATATATATATATATATATATATATATATATATATATATATATATATATATATATATATATATATATATATATATATATAACGATCCNCGTATGTTTAAGTGGGGGAGTATATAACGATCCGATCGGTCATTTTGAGCTTTTGCACTTGGCTCGTCAGTTCTCGGGCATGACTTGCCCCGTATGATGTATTAAGACTTATGTAAATTGTTGGTTTTGGTTTTCAGGGTAATCGGAATGAATTCGGAAGAATAGTTCTCAGTTTGAAGCTTGAAATTTGAAAGGTTTGACACAGATTTGACTTATTTGTATATGATCTCGGATCGGAATTTTTATGATTTGGTTTGCTCCGTTAGGTGATTTGGCACTTAGGAGCGTGATCAGAATGCATTTTGGAAGTCTATGGAAGGTTTAGGCTTGCATTGGCGAAATTGAGATTTTGGCGTTCTCCGATTGATAGGCGAGATTTTGATATGGGGTCGGAAAGGAATTCCGAGAGTTGCAGTAGTTTCGTTGTGTCATTTGAGATGTGTGTGCAAAATTTCAGGTCACTCGGACGTGGTTTGGTAGGGTTTTTGATCAAAAGCGCAATTTTGAAAATTTTTAGAAACTTAGGCTTGAATCCGATGTGTTTTGGGGAATTGATGTTGTTTGAGGTATTTTGATGATTGAAACAAGTTTGAATAAGGTGTTAGGATATGTTGATGCCTTTGGTTGAGGCCCCGGGGGCCTCGGGTGAGTTTCCGGTGGTCTTTCGGGCCATTTCATGTTTTGAAAAGTTGCAGAAATTGCTGATCAGTGTTGCAGAGAAAATGGCCTTCGCGTTCGCGGGTAGGCCCTCGCGTTCGCGAAGGGTTAGCTGGTGAAGGGCTGGAATTTAGCCTTCGCGTTCGTGAAGAAGGTTCCGCGTTCGCGAAGGGCTGTGTGATTGGTCAGCGCGTTCGCGAGTGGAGGCTGATTCGAGGGCAAAGGCGTCGCGAGCTAGAGATTTGACCGGTTCGAGGTGAGTAATGATTGTAAATGATGTTCTGAGGGTTTGAAACCCCGGATTGCACATCGTAGTGCTATATTGAGGTGAGGCACACGCTTGATGACGAGCGTGGAGTCGTACACTATTGGGGATTGTGACTTGGTCCGTCCCAATTGATGATTTTATCGCGTATTTGACTGAAATGTATTTGCTATCATTATTATTTGGGGTAATTGCCATATTTGGGCTTCGTGCCAATTATTTGAACCCTTCGAGGATTTTTATTGATATTTCCTTACTGTTTTGACTTTATACTTGAACTCAGTCATGTTATCTTCCACTGTTTTCAAAACTCAGCCATGTTAACTCAATTTTAATACTCAAATGATATTTAAATGATGTTTTGGGCTGAGAAACACTATTTTACTGTTGCCAAAGAGGCTTATGTGATTTTGACTGAGTAAGGCCGAGGGCCTGTGTTGTGAGGATATCTTTGGGTCGGGCTGCACGCCGCAGCGGTGATACACTGATTTTGATTATGAGGTCGAGGGCCTGAGATTGTACGCCACGAGGTGGCTTGATATTGATATGAGGCCGAGAGCCTGTTTATGATGCCACGACATGGCTTGATATTGCGCTTGGGTCGTAAGGGGCCCCTCCAGGAGTCTGCACACCCCCAGTGAGCGCGGGTACCATTTGTGATGTGTGATATAGCCCGAGGGGCTAGTATGGTTCTATGTGATTGCCCGATGGGCTGGTATTGTTCTATGTGAGTGCCAGAGGGGCTGGTATTGATATGAGATATTGCCCAAGGGGGGGAGTTGTTGACATTGTGCCCGAGGGGCGAACCTTTATGTGTTTATCCGTCTTATTTACCTGTCAATTACCTGTTTAGTTGCGCGTTCGCGAAGGGCTGTGTGATTAGTCAGCGCTTTCGCGAGGGATGTTACGCGATCGCGAGGGTTTAGTCTGTGGAAGCGTCGCGTTTGCGAGTGGCGAGATGCGATCGCGAAGAAGGATTTCCTGGTCAAAGCTGGATTGTCGCTTCGCGAACGCGTGGCTTTGACCGCGTTCGCAAAGAAGGTTTTTGATGACTGGGCAGACTGTTAAATAGCCATTATCCGCGATTTTGAAGCTATCTTTCACCATTTTTGGGCGTTTTTTGGAGCTTTTTGAAGGAGATTGAAGAGGGATTCAAGGGGAATCACTTTAAAGTAAGATTCTTGGACTAAAAACTCGGTTATTATGTGAATTCCACCTAGAAAATCATGGAAATTAAGCCAAAAGGTGAAGAACTAGGGCTTGGAAATTTAGACTTTTGATTGAGGATTTGATGGACCATTTGAGGTTGGATTTCTGAGTTTTTGGTATGTATGAACTCGTGGGAAGATGAGGAACGTATTGGGGTAAAAATTTTCGAATTCCAAGACGTGGGCCCGGGAGTCGGGTTTTGGTAATTTCGGGATTTGTGCTAATTGTTGATTATTTTCGCTTGGGCTTCGTTCCCTTAGCCTATTTTGACGTCCTCGTTCTGATTGTGGATAGATTCGACGCGAGTGGAGGCTGATTCGAGGGGCAAAGGCGTCGCGAGCTAGAGATTTGACCGGTTCGAGGTGAGTAATGATTGTAAATGATGTTCTGAGGGTTTGAAACCCCGGATGGCACATCGTAGTGCTATATTGAGGTGAGGCACACGCTTGATGACGAGCGTGGAGTCGTACACTATTGGGGATTGTGACTTGGTCCGTCCCAATTGATGATTTTACCGCGTATTTGACTGAAATGTATTTGCTATCATTATTATTTGGGGTAATTTCCATATTTGGGCTTCGTGCCAATTATTTGAACCCTTCGGGGATTTTTGTTGATATTTCCTTACTGTTTTGACTTTATACTTGAACTCAGTCATGTTATCTTCCACTGTTTTCAAAACTCAGCCATGTTCACTCAGTTTTAATACACAAATGATATTTAAATGATGTTTGGGCTGACAAACACTGTTTTACTGTTGCCCAAGAGGCTTATGTGATTTTGACTGAGTAAGGCCGAGGGCCTGTATTGTGAGGATATCTTTGGGTCGGGCTGCACGCCGCAGCGGTGATACACTAATTTTGATTATGAGGTCGAGGGCCTTAGATTGTACGCCACGAGGTGGCTTGATATTGATATGAGGCCGAGAGCCTGTTTATGATGCCACGAGATGGCTTGATATTGCGCTTGGGCCGTAAGGGGCCCCTCAAGGAGTCTGCACACCCCCAGTGAGCGCGGGTACCATTTATGATGTGTGATATAGCCCGAGGGGCTAGTATGGTTCTATGTGATTGCCCGATGGGCTGGTATTGTTCTATGTGATTGCCCGAGGGGCTGGTATTGATCTGAGATATTGCCTGAGGGGGGGAGTTGTTGACATTGTGCCCGAGGGGCGAACGTTTATGTGTTTATCCGTCTTGTTTACCTGTCAATTACCTGTTAAGTTGCGCGTTCGCGAAGTGCGGTGTGATTGGTCAGCGCGTTCGCGAGGGTTTAGTCTGTGGAAGCGTCGTGTTCGCGAGTGGCGAGATGCGATCGCGAAGAAGGATTTCCTGGTCAAAGCTGGATTATCGCTTCGCGAACGCGTGGCTTTGACCGCGTTCGCGAAGAAGGTTTTTGATGGCTGGGCAGACTGTTGAATAGCCATTGTCCGCGATTTTGAAGCTATCTTTCACCATTTTTGGGCGTTTTTGGAGCTTTTTGAAGGAGATTGAAGAGGGATTCAAGGGGAATCACTTTGAGGTAAGATTCTTGGACTAAAAACTCGGTTATTATGTGAATTCCACCTAGAAAATCATGGAAATTAAGCCAAAAGGTGAAGAACTAGGGCTTGGAAATTTAGACTTTTGATTGAGGATTTGATGGACCATTTGAGGTTGGATTTCTGAGTTTTTGGTATGTATGAACTCGTGGGAAGATGAGGAACCTATTGGGGCAAAAATTTTCGAATTCCAAGACGTGGGCCCGGGGGTCGGGTTTTGGTAATTTCGGGATTTGTGCTAATTGTTGATTATTTTTGCTTGGGCTTCGTTACCTTAGCCTATTTTGACGTCCTCGTTCTGATTGTGGATAGATTCGACGCGAGTGGAGGCTGATTCGAGGGGCAAAGGCGTCGCGAGCTAGAGATTTGACCGGTTCGAGGTGAGTAATGATTGTAAATGATGTTCTGAGGGTTTGAAACCCCGGATGGCACATCGTAGTGCTATATTGAGGTGAGGCACACGCTTGATGACGAGCGTGGAGTCGTACACCATTGGGGATTGTGACTTGGTCCGTCCCGATTGATGATTTTACCGCGTATTTGACTGAAATGTATTTGCTATCATTATTATTTGGGGTAATTGCCATATTTGGGCTTCGTGCCAATTATTTGAACCCTTCGGGGATTTTTGTTGATATTTCCTTACTGTTTTGACTTTATACTTGAACTCAGTCATGTTATCTTCCACTGTTTTCAAAACTCAGCCATGTTCACTCAGTTTTAATACTCAAATGATATTTAAAGATGTTTTGGGCTGAGAAACACTGTTTTACTGTTGCCCAAGAGGCTTATGTGATTTTGACTGAGTAAGGCCGAGGGCCTGTGTTGTGAGGATATCTTTGGGTCGGGCTGCACGCCGCAGCAGTGATACACTGATTTTGATTATGAGGTTGAGGGCCTGAGATTGTACGCCACGAGGTGGCTTGATATTGATATGAGGCCGAGAGTCTGTTTATGATGCCACGAGATGGCTTGATATTGTGCTTGGGCCGTAAGGGGCCCCTCCAGGAGTCTGCACACCCCCAGTGAGCGCGGGTACCATTTGTGATGTGTGATATAGCCCGAGGGGTTAGTATGGTTCTATGTGATTGCCCGATGGGCTGGTATTGTTCTATGTGAGTGCCAGAGGGGCTGGTATTGATCTGAGATATTGCCCAAGGGGGGGAGTTGTTGACATTGTGCCTGAGGGGCGAACCTTTATGTGTTTATTCATTTTATTTACCTGTCAATTACCTGTTTAGTTACGCGTTCGCGAAGGGCTGTGTGATTGGTCAACGCGTTCGCGAGGGTTTAGTCTGTGGAAGCGTCGCGTTCGCGAGTGGCGAGATGCGATCGCGAAGAAGGATTTCCCGATCAAAGTTGGATTGTCGCTTCGCGAACGCGTGGCTTTGACCGCGTTCGCGAAGAAGGTTTTTGATGGCTGGGCAGACTGTTGAATAGCCATTGTCCGCGATTTTGAAGCTATCTTTCACCATTTTTGGGCGTTTTTTGGAGCTTTTTGAAGGAGATTGAAGATGGATTCAAGGGGAATCACTTTAAAGTAAGATTCTTGGACCAAAAACTCGGTTATTATGTGAATTCCACCTAGAAAATCATGGAAATTAAGCCAAAAGGTGAAGAACTAGGGCTTGGAAATTTAGACTTTTGATTGAGGATTTGATGGACCATTTGAGGTTGGATTTCTGAGTTTTTGGTATGTATGAACTCGTGAGAATCTATTGGGGTAAAAATTTTCGAATTCCAAGACGTGGGCCTGGGGGTCGGGTTTTGGTAATTTCGGGATTTGTGCTAATTGTTGATTATTTTTCGTTCCCTTAGCCTATTTTGACGTCCTCGTTCTGATTGTAGATACATTCGACACGTGTGGAGGCTGATTCGAGGGGCAAAGGCGTCGCGAGCTAGAGATTTGACCAGTTCGAGGTGAGTAATGATTGTAAATGATGTTCTGAGGGTTTGAAACCCCGGATTGCACATCGTAGTGCTATATTGAGGTGAGGCACACGCTTGATGACGAGCGTGGAGTCGTACACTATTGGGGATTGTGACTTGGTCCGTCCCGATTGATGATTTTACCGCGTATTTGACTGAAATGTATTTGCTATCATTATTATTTTGGGGGTAATTGCCTATATTTTGGGGCTTCGTGCCAATTATTAAAACCCTTTCGGGGGATT